ATTAGTTAGTGGAGAGTAGACACTTGCAAAGTATTGACTAAATGCCTGAACAATACCCTCAGGGCTATCCCAATTATCATCATTATACGTTACACTGCACGGGATACGAGAACTACCTCTCTTGGAGTTAATAAAATTCCAAAAACGTTTGGGATCAACAGTGATGGTATTTTGTACGTTACGAATGTGACTCTTGTAAGCTGCCTTGATTAGTATCCTGAGATTGGCACGTAGATACTTGTAATTGTTCAAGTGTGCTAGTGTTCTGTGCTTCTTAAGCTTCTTAAGCGCTTAAGCTTCTTAAGCGCTGAAAACTTGAGACTTATAACACGCTTAATCTCTGAAGTATACCAAAGGGGGTACTTAGGAGATTTGTTATTGAATTTAGGAACAAATGTATCCAATAATTCGTAAAGGTACTGGTAAAATTGTTCACATGCAGAGTCAGTACTAACACACGTATCCAAAAAGGATAGTGATAGGTATGCAAAACTCCGAGTAGTTTTGGAGATCAGAGGTATATACGCACCAATTTTGAACACTATTCTGTCAAGTCGTACAGGAACAATCGGAAAGTTATCTAATCACAGTCTTGATAGCTAACTGAATTGAAAGTAGAATCTCTACTTCAAATCACAAGTGATATATGAACCAGATTAGGGCTCGAGTACAATCTATTTTTAAAGTTTTTAATACGTAAATTATCAGTGCTTTAAAATAAGTCGCAATAATCCGAAAACAGAGAACGTAACACTAATAATAGATGCGGCTTAAGTAGAAAGATACTCGATGATCCGGGCCTTGGGTTTACTAGTAAAAAGTATCTGCGGAAGACGTTATTGTTGTAGCTGCAGACAGATGGCTGGACTGGAGGAGCCCCGATGCAAATACTGAAGATACCTATTGTCTCGTTTTCAGTTTTTAAGCCTTGATTTTTTTCAATTCGATCACCACTATACATTTTTGGTACTGGATCCAACATTTTTAAAGCTATTTCTTAGTTATATCAGTTGCGAGTGATTATGTTTTCCATTTATAAAGAACCTGAAACCGTTTGTAAAAATCAAAACTTTTCTCAAGAGCCTAAATAAATAATTGGTTAATTACTGCTAATCCGCTTGTTCGAATAGAGCAGTTCCTCTGTGAGGACCGAAAGATTGGCTGATTCGAATCATGTTTCGGGCGTGACGTATTCCCTTTGTAAGAAACGCGTTTATCATTGTTATCTTTGAAACCAAGATATATTTTCTATTTTTAGGGTCCGGCTATCTGAAAGGGTCTCTGATATCATTTCTCCCGTATTATATCTTTTTCCAGAGCTCATCGAGGAAAAAAAACGGGGCTCGATCGGGGACATCTGGTGAAGTTAACGTGCAAAAAATACTGTACTAACATGACGTATGGCTGGAAAGTAAAATTAACGCTAATTTACAGTGTAATGTAGACAGAAATGATATGAAATGGCTAAAAATGGACACAATCTTTTTGGAATTCAAATTCCAGAGGTGGCATGACGGTGTCATTTCTCTCTTTTTCGTAATTGCTTGTTGTTAGGTATTTTCAAATATGTCATTTTTGGATTTTCTGTCCACTTTGGGACTACGAAAGAGAAGGACGCAGCGTCGAACGACTTTCATTAAGCCGTAGCCGTAACGCAATTTCTATTGATTCGAAGGTCGTTTTCTCAATAGCCCTTTTTATGTCTGTGAATGCGTGTTGATTAGGGTGTAGCGGAAACTGTGTTGGTGTCATATCCCTTACGGTACTATCGCACAATCTCTCGAGTGTCTAAAGAAGAAAACACATCGAACTGATTCGATGATAGGTATGCTTTAGCTGTGGAGTAATCACTTTTTTGCCAGGTTTGGGGATAAAGATAATACATTTTTGTCTGATGCTATTACCATAGGTAGTTAATTTGTGCTATTACTAATTTAGATTTACCCTGTATCTCACAGCTTAACTCGTGGCTATACAGGTGTGGCCGCGGAAGAGCCTTACAGTGGCCAGCGACATAGATACAAGTTCCTGGTTTTTCTGATGATACTGTCTATTGCTTTTCTGGTGTATCTATGTAGAATCTGATTCCAGCAGCGCCTCAATATCCTCAAACTCTACCCCGTGACGTATTCCCCACTTCCTGCTCGGCAGAATTACTAACCCTCACCTTTGGAGAGGAAAACACATCACTGAGCCTTTCCGCCCTGGCGATTACGTTACTCTGGTTCTCTTCCTCAATGCCGAAAACTATCAGCCTTCTTTGGGATAGATCATTCACGTGGAAGGGACCGCATACCTTTGCCTAGGAATTCTGCGCGTCCAAACGTCGCCTTACCACTGCCAGGTCATCAATTTTTTTCTTTATAACCTTTAGGTGCGCAGCCTGCCACAATGTGGGTGGTTACCAACCACCTCCTTCAACCTCTCAAGAGAATGGTGGTTCTCGCACGATATTTTTAGAATCTCTCCCGAATGCCTCCAACCCTTAAACGTAGGTGATAGTGTAGTGTCTGTTAGGGCGAACAGACGCCAGTCACGAACCTTGGCCAGATGTTTTTGTATCAATATCTTCCTGGTTATCCGTTAGCCTACCCAGAGGGTTATTGGTGTCTATACTTCGAATTGCCTCTCGGTGGCTTTCTTGTAGCTACGACTGCGGGCTGCTTCAGCCTTATCGACACCCACATTTGGTTAGGGCTGTGACTAAAAACCGTATTTCATCGTATTTATTGCAAAACAGTCAGTCTTGCTAGTTGTAAAGTTATTGTTTACAATAAAGCGGAAGCGTGTCTCACGTTTTACGAAGATTTTAGTCGAAGTGCTGTGTTTATCGAGCAGGCGTCGCTTATGTGAAGAATTTCTTTAAAGGTTTTCCCAGTACTCGTTAAAGGGAGTTTTTTTTTACTATTAAAGAGCCAATTTTACATCTGTAATTACAGCGAACCCAGTGTCGTCCAAATCGAGATACAAGTTTACTTACAGTAGAGAAGTGAAGTTATAGAAACATAATCCGCACATACCAATTTCATCATCATTTGGTATTTGATCTGGTCTTAACATGTTATGAGATTTAACTTTCACTATCAGAAGTCTGCAAATTCTTACTTACTTACTTCTATCTCACAGTGTACAACAGTTTATTCGATGTATTTCCTAGTTTAGTAAGACGGTGAACATTCGTGTAATGCAATGTTATATAGCACTGCCTAAGATTGCCTGTATTTTGGAGAGTGCAATTCACTAAAAGGTGAAATCTCTCCACTACATACATTTTTGCATATTTTCACCATCTTCTTGATGTTTGGAAGCACTTGTTTTATTTTAATTTTAATTCAATTTGTTGAACAGCTAACGCTGTGAATACTTATAATGCGAAATGAATATCGTTTATTATTTATTGTATTTTATGAGATGTTGTGTATTTTCGATTTGCAACATTTGGGATTAAACCGAATTTATTTTTGCATATTTTAAGGTGTATTTAATTTTTTTTTCAATTTTAATTTGAATTTTTAATACATTTTTGCGGATTTTTATAACGGACGCGATCATCAAACATACTGCAATAGCCGGATGGAAGATTTATTGATTTAATTGATGTTTAATATTATCATTTCTAAACTATTTTCTGTTTTTCTTTCTCTACGTTGTTGATGGGTGATATTGTGGAAGGTTTGGAAATTGCTTCCAATAGTTTGTCGTTTTCTAATGCAACTATTACTTTTGTTGATGTAGAGAGAAGTTTCTCTGCTTAGTGTTTATAAATTAATTCTTAGCGACAGGAGGCAATCATTTCGTGCAGAAAACTTATAGAAACATCTTATTGCTAGTGTTTATCGTAATTCCTTTTTTATTAGAAATTATGCCACATATATAATTTTGCATATGTGTGCATATACATCAAAATTGTTTGCATATTTTTCACTAATATTCTGCATATATATGCGCATATTTTACCATTTATTGTGTATTAATACAGGTAGTACCTAAAGAAATTTCGGAAAAAAAAACATATTTTTAAATTACTTATTAACAGTTGATTTTATCGAAAAAGTACTTATAACAATGTTTATAGCACATATAAAGAGCTTTCATTAAAAAAAAAGAATAATAAAATTGGATCAATAATTCCAGAGATATAGTTGATTTTATAAAACTCAACATCCGCCATCTTTGATTAACCGCTATTAGCTACCACTTTGAGATGGCAATCATGGCATCTTGGCATCCTAATATAACCACTGAAAAAAGGAAAATTGGTACCCCCAAGTCATGTCGACTGACCCATGGACTATAGTCACTCTGTTGCAACTACCCTCTAAATGCTCACCCAGTCGGCGCTCTGATACGACCACCACTTAGCCCATTGATCATGCTGGGTCAAGCATGACCTCGCATCTTAAGCGAAATTCCAGTCAAACAAGTGTGTTGTCGCAACTTCAGGTAACTCAACTACCAGGATTCGTACATCCGAAATTAAGGGTCGCCTTGTACGGCATAAACACGAGGGTATTGCCTTTAGTTTGGATTCTCACTTGGGGCCATCATACGGCGGGACGATCCCCCTTGATCACTGAACCACTCAACCTCCGCAGTCACGTCAAGATCCTAAAAATAATATCTCTTCTACGTAGATTCCGCGTGACAAATTCTTCGCTTCCTGCACATAAAGTTCTGAATTTCTTTCTCGGTGGCCAGATACAACATACAGCATAGCGAAATAATTATGCTATATTGCCTTTTCCAATTTATACAAAAAATGGGATCTTGTATCATGATCAGCCCTCTCAGAAGGAGTCAGTAACGAGACGACTGACTGTTGGAACTATTTTCAAGTAACGAAAAAGTGTATTATTAATTTTATTAAATACCTACTATACAGATATCGATCTTATGTATCAAATCTTCGAAGGAAACTTATTGCCGAAACAGTTCGAGGTGTATCTAAAAGATTAGATTAGTCAAACTAACCACGCATAACTTACAAAGATAATCTCAAGTGGACCTACAGGTATAAAAAGGATCCGCGCACAAAATACGATACCTTCTCTGACCATGCGTTTCTTTTTGATTCTTAGTATTGTCGTTGCGGCGGCGTGGGCTAAAAGCTACGATGGGTAAGTTTCAATGACTTTCTATCTACCCAGCTTCATTTTGACAACATATCACAGATACAAACTCTACCGTCTTCACCCAACCAGTAAGGACCAAGTAGAGTTATTGAAGAAAATCGAAAATGCGGACAAAATTGACTTTTGGTCGCACTTAAGGTTTAGCGGCCAGCCCATCGACGTTATGGTTGAACCAACAACCCAAGATGCCTTCACATGGTTCCTAAACATGCAAGGAATTAAATACGATATCGCAATCGACAACATTGAAAGGTATACTTTGTTTTTGAAGGTACATGTATGAAACAATATGAATATTATTAGGATCGTCGAAGAAGAAAGAATGCAACAGATGTCGGCTCCAAGATCAGCTTCTGGCTCAATCAGCTTCAGCAAGTTCAACAGATTCGACGAGATTACCGCGTACATGAACAAACTAGCCGCTGATTATCCCAACCTCGTACAACTGGAAACCATTGGACATACCACCGAGGGCCGTGAGATGAAAATGATCCAAATTTCTAGCAATCGTGGTGCTCGTAAACCGATCATCTTCGTTGACGCCGGAATTCACGCCAGGGAATGGCTCGCTCCTGCCCAAGCTTTGTACCTCATCAAAGAGCTCGTAGAAAATGAAGCAAATAGGCACCTCTTGGAAAAAGTTGACTGGCACATCCTCCCGGTTTTCAACCCTGATGGCTACGAATACAGTCACACCACAGTACGACGATTCCATACACTAAACTTAACCTGAAGACTAACTTTACCTTTTTTTAGGCCCGTTTCTGGAGAAAAACTCGTTCCAATCAAGGACCATGCAAGGGAACCGACGCGAATCGTAACTTTGGATATCACTGGGGTGAAGTCGGTACGAGCGACTCCCCTTGCTCAGACATCTTCAGGGGACCTTCCGCATTCTCTGAACCGGAAAGTCGTGCAGTTCGCGATTACCTCTTATACCGCCGAAATGACATCAAATTGTACCTTACATTCCACAGCTACGGAAACTACATCTTGTATCCATGGGGATTCACTTCAGCTTTACCCCATGACGACAACGAACTTCGCAGTTTGGGCGAAAAGGTAAATAGGGCAATTGTTGCAGCAGGCGGTCGTACATACACTGTTGGTACGTCCACAAATGTATTGTACGGAGCAGCCGGCGGTAGCGATGACTGGGCTAAAGGAGTCGCCGGAGTTGAGTTGGCTTACACTATTGAGCTTCCCGCCGGTGGTTCCGGATTCGATCCTGCTCCAAGCCAAATCTTCGGTCACGTTCAGCAGACCTTTGAAGGAATTAAGGAGTTCGGAAAATACATCGCCTCCAAATTCGCTTAATTTTCGATGCTCTTTTGAACTTTCTTTTTTATTCAAACAACAATAATAAAGTACACAAAATAATGTTGTTTTCATTTATTGCAATTCTTATTTTTGTCCTCTATTCTATTCTTTATAGAGAGGGAAAATGATGTCGAAAATGTTACCGAGGGAGAATGTAGCATAGTGTGTGGGGAGCTCGAGCTATTGGATTAGAAAAAGCTTGTTTAAGATATTCAAAAGCCGGCTTATATTCATCATCCTATTTGAAATATCTCTGTTCCTTTGTTCACTTCGTCAACGGCTTGGCCTTATCGGCAATTCCGCGAACAAGTCGTAGGTAGTAAGTGCATAGGCCCAAGATGTGGCTCAGGCAATTCTGTATCGGACGAACTTTGTCGGGATCTACTGTCACTCCAGTCTCCGAAACCAAATGACCAAGAAATTTGACTTCTTTTTGGAAAAGGTTGCACTACTTAGTATTAGTTGAAAATTGGCACTGCGCAACTTCATAAATTCGATATTCTTAAGGTGTTCCTCGATCGTTCGACCAATCACAATTCCGTTGTCCAAATACACAAAGCACATCTTCCAGAATAAACCTTACAACCCCCTTGCAAACGTTGCGGGGGCTTTCGACAATCCAAAGCGCATGACCGTAAATTGCTATAATCCCGACTCTATACCTTAGCATAGAACTTTTAGGCTGCCTTCTCGCTATGTTCAGGATCCATAAACATATGTACTTGCCAGCGGAAAACCACATACCAGTCGGGACCACGGACAACTATCTTTCTTTGTTACGCTGTTCAGCTGCCATATTTCTTTTTCACTAGCACCACAGTTGAAGTCCAAGGCTGCTGGATGGTTTACCTAATTATTTCTTGACTAGTCATGTCGCTGATGATCTTGTCAGCTTCGTCTCGTTTAACTCATGGTGTCATCACCCTTGGCTGTATTTACACACCGCGCTAATGCAGTTATTGAGTCACAGGCCCCAATGTTACTGTTCTTCTTTAACTGGGATGAATTCAAATTCATCAGCCGAACTGACGTTAATTGTTTAGGATTTACTAGCACCTTGCCAATCAAAATTCCTCTACCCATATTGGTATAATTGGGTTCCATCGCACTCAACCTGTTTTCCCGGAGATATCCATTCATGTCGTGTCCATTTGACATATTTTCCTTCAGGTGCAAAACAATCAATTAAAACATTGTACGGAATTTCTAATCCTAAACCTGAATTACGTTTACAGCGCGTAAATTATACAGGGTGGTTCGTTCTCATTATCCCATTATTTCAACCTACAGAAACCGCGCATAGGTTGCAGTCGAGTGGGTAATGTGTTGCCTATGTTTTGTCTTAATTGTGAGTATTGGTGTTGTGTGTTGCGTTTGTATTGTGTGTTTAGTTTCAGTGTTTGTGAACGGGTTACCTTCACTTATTATCCCAGCACAAAACTCCTCCCCAACACAGAGGAGAGATTCTACTTTGCTCTCAGTTAACCTGTTAACTTCTAACAGATAGTGCTGCATGAAATTAGAAGACCCTTTTTAAAACGTTTTGAGCTGGTACACTTTGAGCACTAACGTTTATATTGGCGGCACTAACGAGCACTAATACTTACCGGTCGATTAAAGTATAAAATCAAACGGATTTCGTTCGTTGGTCTACTGGCGTAAAGTTGGCAGGTCCCAATAAGTCAGGTTTGATTTTGAGGTGGTTTGGTACCTTTTTGACGCGGATCCCTTGCAGCACTAACGCTCGCATGTGAAGCACTAACGAGCACTAACGAGTCACTTCAAATTCGCATTAGGACAGGGCCAATTTGACAAATGTGGGTCTCTGCTGCATGAAGTTAGCAGACCTCTTTTTATACCGTTTTGAGCTGTTACACTTTGAGCACTAACGTTTATATTGGCGGCACTAACGTTTTAAAAACAGTAAGTTCCCTTTTGTGCACTAACGATTTCTTCAGCGGCACTAACGTGCACTAACGGAACACTAACGATAAGAGTAAGCAGAACCATGGTCTGCTGTAGTAGGCCTGCCAAGTTCATGGACATAAACTGAACTGCAAAATTTTGAGTAATTAAAATGGACCTTGTGCAAGCATCCAATCCAAACACAGTTGAATTAGAACTGAAGTCGTTAGAATGAAATAGACAAAAATTAATGTGAAAATTACAAAAGTGCGATTTAATCGTAACACACAACACAAACAAATAGCAAACTTAATTACTTACATTACATGTCCGGGAAAATAAACGGGCTCCTTACACAAAACACAAAAAACAATTTTCAATTAAACAATTACAGTTTAACGACCGGGTACTCGCAGCATCTTCTTTTCAGGTAGACAAGGACGTTCCAATAAAAAAAAACTGAAACTTACAACTGAGTCACGTAGACAACAGACTTATAGGGGCGCCGATAACCACCTCTTCTTGCAGCACCTTATTAGATGACCAAAACTTCAAAACGTCTAACAATAATTAACCGCGAATTCGGCTTCCGGATTCGCAAGCGGAAACTTCTTCAAACTCTTATTAGGCGAAATTTTTAATACTAGCCGTGAGGTCAAACTAGCTGGCCGTCGTTTCAACATAAATAATCCACGATGGAACTGGCACGAAGCCAAATAAATTCTTCTACGTAACGTAACTCGGTGCTGAACGTAGCAAAAAGTTAATTTAAAAACCTCAAACGTCAACGTGGCAAAAGCCGGCGCTTTCCCTCTTCCGAATCTTATTTAAAGCGAAACCCTTCTTCTGAAAATCAAAATTATAACATCCAATCATACACAGTTGACAACAGAAAATATCCCCTCAACGTACGTTAATAGACCAAAGTAATAGAGGTCGAGTAATTTTACTAAACAAATTCTTATCAGACATTCATTAACTAAAATACTAGGAAAAATAAAAATTCATTTCTTTTAACTACACAGAAAAGGCGATAAATCGCATCCACTTGTCATTTAAATTAAGCATTTACAATTGATAACAGATAAAGACCAATACAAAATTCTCAGAAATATCTACGTTAAATAAAATAAAAAGGTAAACAAAAACAACTTTTACCGCTTTCTCGTATGACTTGGGCTCGTTCATAAGACACAACAGTTGGGGTCTTATGTCACGTTCCCTACTTTAACAAATGTAGCGCTACTAAAAATGGCCGAATGCTCCGTAAAGAGCGTAAAAGTAGCGACGTAATTATAAGACGTATCGGTAACTGTTCCACAACAGTTGTGTCTTATGAACGCGCCCATTAATTTCCGTGCCGTCACATAGACCAACGACAAATTAATAACTTTTAATTACAAATGTTAATTCCACAATAGGATTGGACCGCCCTTTTCCATCTTAATTAAGATTTCCTAAATTTCATCCTGCCAGACGAAATAAACGCAGCAATATATAATTACTACACATTCAGAATGTGATCAGAAACTAAACAGTTAATACCTACCACGATTTGTTTATGATATAGTTTTATCATCAACTTTATGGCTCAAAAGATAGTCGCTACAAGTTGAGAATTCAGTAGTGAGCATCGTATTGCCGCAAATGATACAAGTCTGGCTATTGAATGTTTACCAGTGTCACCAAGAAGCGTATGATTGAAGTCGACTGAATTTTTTTACCAGTAGCGGCGATACCGAAGTATTTTTGGAGGATCATTGCGGTGTATTGTGGGTGGCCTTATTATCTGGCCATCCGGGCAAGATAGATTTCGTAAATTTTAACATGTCTGGTGCAAATATACTTGAATTATGGTTTTTAGAACATTGGGATATGTCGGTAATATTTCAACATATGTAGGGGATACGATGAAATAAACCAAAGTTTTTAAAGAGGCCAAAACATTCTCGAATGGCGATGGCGCCTCACCATTGCTCTTGAAAGGTCTCCGTGTGCTTAACCACAGAACGCCAGCGTCTCGGCGCATATTTCGCTAGCGCACGGTTTCACATTTGGACGACCTCACCGTTCTCATAGCCATCCTTACCTATGTGATTATCATAGTGAAATGGTAAAGCGGTCACGTGTAATTACGTGTCGAAATGTACCTACACCCAAATCAGTTCGGCGCTAAACTGGCAGTGGTACGGCGGCAAGCGTAAAACTTCCTGGCCGTTTTCGCGTAGGTATTCATCAACTAGAGCTCCGATTTGATCATTCCGGCCGAAAAAACGATGTTATGGTTATCGAAAGAACTGTTGAATGCGCGGATTGGTTCAGCCATTTGTTGGATGCTGCTCGACAGCCACGGTGTGGTAGCTCGCTTTGTTCTTCACAATCAACGATGGCTCCTCCAAATTCTGAATAAGATTCCCATGAACCCACTGGGAGAACGAATCGCCGTTCATATCACCGTAATAATTCGCGAGTTTGGACTTGGACAAGACCACGAAGCGTTTACCGTCACTATCCGGTCGCTTATGCACACCCTTCGGCGTTCCATCCTGACACCAATGCTTCGCAGATCCTTTGACAAATACCCACGTTTCGTCTGTAATCACGCCTTGGCGTTTGATGGGAAATGGGAGACTGCGGAGTGTTCAAATCGAAATAATGAACATTACTCGTCACAGGTAAACCTACACGTTGTACTTTCACGCCGAAATCAAGTAGTTAAGGTTTTAAATTAATGTATTTTATGACATAATGGGGAGTCATGTAATTAGACCGGTAATCTTCGATAGAACTTTAACTGCTCACCATTATTTACAAATTCTCCAATAAACTTACTTAAAGGATTTTTTAGACAACGTATGTTTCGCAGAAAGGGTTGGTTTATAGTACCTACCAACAATTAAGCTGGCTGCCCAGGTCACAATTCACGAATTAAATTAAATTAAAGAATTAAAGTGTATGGAAGTAGCTACAACTATAATAATAATAGTAACGTACCTACACAACTGTGCGACGCAGTTCTAAAGGCGTGTTATCATCAATGACAACACGTTGCCTAAAGTAAACTGTCTTGAAGTGTGTTTCACTAATAATGGCCAGTATTTTAAACATCTGATGTAATTTTTTTCATTGTTTTGTTGCATCGTATAGATTTGGTT